GCTCTGCATTGAAGAGGGCTCACTTCTCATGGCAGAAACACGCATGCGCTCGGGAGCCCCGTTCCAATTTTCTGTTAGAGAAATGCATTTTCACAAGTTAGGTTTTAATGTCTATTAATATTGCTAAATTGCTAAAATTGTTGTATATTGCGATTTTAAATCTTTTCTTTAGCTATTTGCTTTGACAATATTGCATGCAAAACAATCATGCCAATAAATAGCTTGAAAAAACTTGAGCTTGAGAGAGAGAGAGAGAGAGAGAGAGAGAGAGAGAGAGAGAGAGAGAGAGAGAGAGAGAGAGAGAGAGAGAGAGAGAAAGCATCTACTTAAAAGTAGATACGAAAACCATTTCAGCACCAAGGACAGCGAAATAATGGAAGGCTGTGCGTCAATGCTCAAAACCTGTACACCTGACTCTAATGGCCCACATATACCTCTATTCTTTTCAACTTGACTAAAGCGTCACTTAAATATGCATAATGCCTCCAGGTAAACAAACACAGGGATTCATGACTCTTAAGAGAAAGCTTAAGCCTTAAGGACATTTACACTCTCTGAACAAACCATGCATCACATCACTGTTTATGTTGTGCCTTTACTTCATATCAAATAACAATTTACATTCTGTCGTCAAAGTGGAAATAGAAAAAGAAAGAAAAACAAATCAAAGTGCATTTGATTTCTTAAACACATGGCGTCAGTGGCGCTTGAAATAGCTCCAGCTTATTGCCCCAGCTAATTATACAAACCCCTTTCGACACACTGAACCCTCTCTTTATTTTCTAAAGCAAAAGGATGAATTCTAACACTATTCGTGACATTAAAGAGTGGTAAAGTGTGATAGCCTGTCTGAAAGGGCAAATAATGGCGCGCGCCTTTCACTGCAATTAACATGAACGAGCAGTTTGGTGCCCCTCAAATGTTCAGTTTTCATCAGATCATACAAACTGACTACATGTATTATTAAACGAAATAACAAGCATTCATCTGCTACAGTTAAATATAAAGCGATAATGAAACTAGCCAATTTGTCGAAGAGACAATTTCATAAATCTGCTGGAAAAACATTTTCGCTTTGACTCAAAGAAAACAATGCGCGCGCCCGGTGCGCACAAACAACATCAACCGGAGTGCCAGGGCTAGTACTCACCCGTGGCAGAGGGCGACCTGTTCAGTGCCATGTTCATGTTCCCGGTGAGATGGTGGACAATCCCCTCGCGGCCCCGCGCAGCTTAACGCGCTCGTGCTGCTGCCGTTAATACCGTGGAGCGCTCGAGACGCTCAAACTTCCAGCGAGAGTCGGACACAGTGCGCGTGCACCGGGAGAAATATTGGTGACAGCCGACACTCCCCCCTCCCCCTCATACACACACTCTGTAACTCTTAAACACAAACTCTAAAAGCATGAATGCAAATCCAATTATATGCAAAAAAAAAAAAATATATATATATATGCCCCAACATGTAGCCTAAATATATGAACAACAATTAAATAAGAAATAAAATAATATTTCACCGAATTACAGTTATGATACCTCATGTTCCAAAGCTTGTAACTTTCTCAAATTAAAAACAAATGGGATGCTCATACACTTAAACATAATGGGCTCTATGCACGGCGTTATTTAAGGATTAAGGATGCTCGATAACTTCCGCCGATCGTAGAGTCCAATGCAATACCGAGAATTTATATTGAATTTTATACTCCATGGTTATACTAATGAAACGTTAGTCACAAAAAACAGACACCCCTCGTTGTGTTTATGCTTCTTTTTAAAATTATATTAAATACACATAACTATATATAAAATTACATCTAAAAGTATGTAGGCTACGTTTCGTTTCAAAGACGGGAGGACAAAAATATTGGAGACTCTGCCATAATCCCGTTTTCTCCGGTTTTCCTCCGCTTTAATCTAGGCTACACAACCGGAAATGGACGAGCATCCTTACGTCAAATGCGGAACTTATGCGTGCATTGATAACGTTAGATCCGTTAAGATTTGTTCTGAGACAATATGAAAGCGACAAGTGAGGGAATCTTTCACAATTGATTTGACCAAGTTTCGAGTTCTTTACAATAGGCCTACTACTCCAGAATGAGCGTTTTTTTCCTCACAGTTCAGCAGAATCGTTCATTCGGTTCGTTCACGAACGAGATAACTTGTTCGTTTATTCAGTGTTTACGAATAAAAAGTCGCGATTAATATGCCCCATTCAAACACTTGCTGCGACCAAATTGTACAACTTCTGTGTTATGTTTCGACCGATGATGGACGTAATTTAATTTTAAATTACTCATTTAGTTATATTGCTGTTTTAAATTGTACTAGGTTCGCTCGAATATCCGCCATGATGACCTTTGACTCCGTACGTGTTATTGACTTTTCTACAAAGACTAAACTTGAGCACAATTTACTCAAGTACCGTAATCACAAGGATTTTTAAATTTGCATTTACACCAGTTTGCATACTGAGAAGAGGAAGAAGAAAAACAAGCGGCTCAACCTTTTAAATCAGATCCACAGCTCATATGGCATTATTATGAAATGGACGTTACATCAAAATCAGCAGAACTGCTTGAATCTGCATTATGTATGTCTAGGGAACTCGTGAAAACTGACGCGTTGCAGTTGTCTGACAGTTGTCACACGAGTTGTATGCTACTTATGACACGTATGGTGTTTTTCTTTCTTTTGTTCATTTTAGAGCTAAACAGACGTGGTAATCTTTTACTGTCATTGTATGGAAAAGAGAGACTAGACAGCTATGTCTCCCTTTTATAGAAGAACCTATAGGCCTATTGGAAAGAGTGTAAGTTTAGTTTTGGGTGAACTATTTTACACATTATATAATGAAATCACATTTGTTAATGACATTAATTGTGAAACGAGTCTATAAAAATAAAAAGTTTGTATACTGTGTTTACATTTCAACTGGGTCAGTATGACATAAGTTTGCAGTTTACTAAATAAAATCCTTTTTCCTAATCATGTATTGCCTATATACCATATAGGTCTTAATGTGAAGCTTGTTTTATATATGAATGGTAAAAGTGTTTTTTGTATTTTCTATATTTGGTCTATTTTTGTGTACAGTCGTTTCTACAAACCCAATTCCATAAAAGTTGGGACACTGTACAAATTGTGAATAAAAACAGAATGCAATGATGTGGAAGTTTCAAATTTCAATATTATATTTAGAATACAACATAGAGTAATAGCCTATGCTTTTTATGTCCAAACTGATTTGTAGCATATTGTCTGCATGGATAAACCTGTGGTTATGTGCTTTGTTTAAGAGGTTTAAGGGCATAAACCTCAGAGACTTCACCATTAAACAACCACGACCTTATCCATAGCATACTTTACATTGTTTATTCAATGAATTTATGAGAGAACATTAAATGGCCACCCTTAAATGAGAAAACCATAGACTGTAAAAGGAGAAAACTAAATAATTTAGGCAGTGATTTGAGCAAACTGATAGTATTGAAGTCAATGTCTGATGCTGTTGTGCACTTTGAGTGCTAAGTAATTCCCATCATGCATGGATGTCACGCACTTTCATAATTACCTTCAAAACACATCATAATAATGCAGTGACTCACTGGGTTTATAAAACATATTTTCTGACACGATTTCCAGATGATTTTTATCACAGTTATTGTGAAGGTCATGGCAGCTTGAATTGAGATGAATCCTTTTCTGCACGCAATTTATTTGTGTTTTCATTTGGTTAGTAACCTTAAAGCTACACTGTGTAACACTTTTACTTCATTATTAGCTAAAAACACTTAGTTCTTTCAAAAATATGTGTTCATTAATATATATTTACTCTGTTCAAGTTATAAAGTATTCTCGTGAGTGTATAATATGCCATTGAAAATACATACAGGTAAGGGGTTCTAATGTCGGTCGGTCGCCATGTTGCCCCTCCATCTTGAAAGTACATTAGCCAAAGAGGGACTTACCCGTTAATTCAAGCTTCGCCTTTCGTGTTTACGTTTGAGTTAACACTCATGGACGAGGTCGAACTGGAAGCCATGTTAATCTTGGACTACATTGGCCACCGTAGGAGTTAAAATGAAATCGGAATTGAGAGGAACAGAAATTAATATTCAATGGATGTTCATATACATTTTCACCTCTAGATGGGGGTAAAAATCACACAGTGTAGCTTTAAGAATTTTATCAGGTATTATTTAAACCTTTTAGAATATGTGAATGCCATATAAATATTTCATATCAACCATGTAGCCCAAGACTGGTTACCCATTGAAGCTAAGCAGGTCTGAGCCTGGTTAGTACCAGGATGGAAGAGGTGTTAGTGAGGCCAGCAGGGGGTGCTCACCCTGTGGTCTGTGTGGGTCCTAACGCCCCAGTATAGTGATGGGGACACTATACTGTAAAAAGAGTACCGTCCTTCGGATGAGACGTTAAACCAAGGTCCTGACTCTCTGTGGTCACAAAAAATCCCAGGATTTCTTTCGAAAGAGTAGAGGTGTAACCCCGGCATCCTGGCCAAATTTGCCCAGTGGCCTCTGTCCATCATGGCCTCCTAATCATCCCCATATATATATATATATATATATATCAATTGGCTTCATCACTGTCTCCTCTCCACCAGTAAGCTGGTGTGTGGTGGGTGTTCTGGCACAATATGGCTGCCGTCGCATCATCCAAGTGGATGCTGCACACTGGTGGTGGTTGAGGAGATTCCCCGCTCTATGTAAAGCGCTTTGAGTGCTCAATATTTCACGAGGCTGAGAAGTAACAAGTCTGTAATGTGCGACTCATGTCCTCCAGATGTGTGAATTGCACCCTTCAACACTATTCACAACTAATTGACGGATCAGTATTCTCATGCTCACCATCCCTCTCACACAAATGGGTTCAAGTGTCCAGAGCACCACCGAGTGGTCCAACCTAAGTACTTGTTTAGCACTTGCTCTTTATTGTAGTTTAGTCTAATAAACAGCCATAAACAACAACCACATATAATAGTTATTCATAAAAAAATCATGTATTTGTATGAACAGATTGTTTAATGGCAAAATGGCAATGCAGCAATCTGAGATTATTGTTCATTGATTAATGACGTGTCCTTTATACGTTGAAATTTATGATAAAGTGCTCGATTATCAATGAATCATTTGTTCGAAAATCCTCTGAACATTATACCTGTTGTAGATGCTATATGAAAGTGTATTGTAGCAGTTATTTTATCAGGTTTCTGTGTCTGTTCTCAGTCGGTGGGACAAGCGTGCGACATGCAGTCACAGCCAGTGACAGCGAGGACTTGGTGTTGCGTTCGCGTGCCGTTAGCGCAGTGTAGGGCAACATTCATGGGCACGGTGCCTGTAGCTGAGCAACACACACACTCGCTCTCAACCTTGTGCTTGTCCAGAGAATACACAGACTTGCTGCTACACTTCCCCTGTGGGTGAGAGAGAAAGACAGACGGGGTAAATTATATGTATATAGCTTCATGACATTGTTGAGACTTTCATGGTAGAATATATTAAAGTGCATCGACTCACCTCGCAGTAAGTGAGTTCTATCTTCTCTTCTGATTGGCAGTCGTCCACCCTGATGTAATTCAGAAGACCCACAGTTCTTCTGCACTCTGGCTCAGTACCTAAACAAACATTTAACATATGCACACGTCAAGTTCAGATCAGACGGATGGAGTTTATAAACTGAGCAGGCCTGCGTTTCCCCAAAGGCATTGATGACAATGGTTCTACAATCTACTTAGGCTTAAGATGCTTTTGGGAAAAGCAAGCCCCGGATGTTCTGGTATTTTAGACTTACACATTTCACAGCAGGTGTCTTCAATCTGGCTTATTTTACCCTGTGGATAAAGGATTCACAGTTTCCCTTTAATCACTGTGCAACACAATACATATAACATATCCCTGGATTGGTGTTTAGAGTTTTGTAGATTATGACTAAAGGAATCGGGGTTTCATTTGATTGTTTAATAATGTTTTACATTATTGTATTATTGTTTTACAACCAATGAGTATTGTGAACTTATTACATTTGAGAATATTTCCTAAAATTCATTTAAAGTAATACACTCCATTTAGAAATGTGAACTTAACACTCTTTCAGTTGGTTTTTACAGCACCACATAACAGAATATTAAGCACTAACAGATCTCACTCGACATTAATAGTGTGCAAAACATTTACTCTCCTTACAGAGTTTTAAGCAAAGCATGCTGGGAACTAGGAGCCTGCTTTATTTCATTCAGTTTGAACTCTGCTTAATTTAATCAGTTACTGAGTTCAAATAACTTTTTCTAATAAGTCAAAAGAACTGTCATTAATATTTGAGTGAAATGAACCTTTTCATTTAATACATTTGTGAGTTAATACATTTATAAAGTGTGTGTGTGTGTGTGTGTGTGTGTACAGGTTTAGCTATACTTGTGAGAGCCAAATTTCCTCACTTATACAGTAAAATATTATGACAAACCAACTAGTAAGGACATTTTACTGGTCCAGTTAAAAAGACTTATAAATCGGTCAAAATATGTTTTTTTGTTTTTTTATTTAAATCTAGTGTTTTACACGTTTCTGTGATGGGTTTGTTTAGGAGCAGGGTTTAGGTAAGGTGATTGTAAATATCATTAACCTGATATTAAATCAATGGAAGTCTATCCAATGTCTTCAGTAATATAGTGAAACAAACGTGTGAGTGTGTGTACCCCATGCTCCAGACAGTGTTTGCGGTCAAATGGAGGGCATCTTGTCACTAGAGTCTCAAGCACCAATTCTTCATCCTTATTCACACTGCATGTGTGTTTAATGCAGCCATCTGTACGAGTTGTATTTGCCTGAAAACACACATTTATGACACTATATGAAAATCAATAGAACTTCTGGAGCATTTACAGCAAGATTTCTCAAATTACAGGCTCACTGGCCAAGATAGTTTCATATGACTCCTCAAGCATTAATAGTTGATTTTTTTTATTTTTATTTAGCCTGCAGATCACTTCACTTTCTAGTTTGGTTATCCTGTAAACAATGGGCTTATATACAGTACACAACCGTTCAAAAGTTTGTGGTCGGTAAGAATTTTTAATGATTTGAAAGAATTTCTCTTATGCTCACTAAGGCTGCAGTTATTTAATAATAAAACATATTTATATAAAATATATTTATAGTTTTTATTCTTATTCCTATTAGTAAAGCTGAATTTTCAGCATCATTACTCCAGTCGACAGTGTCACATCATCCTTCAGAAATCACTCTTATAATATTATTATCAATATTGAAAACAGTTGTGCTGCACATTATTTTTGTGGAAAGTTTTATGGAATTAAGTTTCCATAGGATTCTTTGATGAATAGCAGGTTCATAAGAACAGAAAATATTTGTATTAGATATCTTTTGTAATTTTAAATGTCTTTATTGTAACTTTTGATCAATTCAATGGGATCAATTAAACGGTTGGGTGTATGGTTAATGGGTGCCTTTGAAATGGTTAAAACAATTATTCTAAACAAAACGGATCTTAAGATGGCAAAACATATGACTGTTCACTTGTTTTGGCCATTTTAACCATTTTCATTGACACATAGAGGTACTTATTGACGAAAGAGAGGTGAGATTCAAACCTGTGTCTTCCACACTGACTATACTGGCTACAGTTAGTGACACTGACTCACGACTGCACATATTTATTACTTTCAGAGTGACCAGCTGCCCATCAGGTCGTCGGATGCTACAAGCAGTTGCTACACAGCGACCGCAGCAAGCATTTGGTATTGGCTCCAGTGTATATCCCTACAAAACAAAACACACATATAACTGTACTCATTTATTTAGGGCTTACTGTAATTTTAAAGCTAGAAATTAAGATTCTGCCATAATTTACTCATCCTTGTGTAATTTTAAAACCTTTAAAAATGTCAAATCTTTCTTTCTCATCTCATTTGCATCTTCAAATGTGACAGATCAGAGATCATGACACACAAGAACTATGGCATTTGGGTTTAAACACATTAAATCATGTGAATGAGATTTACATACAGAGCTTTTTAAACTATGCTGCCTGTTTGTTGTATTTTCATTGCACGTACAAAAACATCTGCTTTTGTGCTCCATGGAAGAAAGAATGTAATTTAAAGAAATGAGGGTAAGTAAATGCTGTATATAATTTTTTTGGGTAACTATCCCTTTAATAATCTCAAGAGTGAGGGTTTTACCTCTGAGCAGGGGGAGCAGCTCATCTTTCTGCAAGAGAGCCGATAACTCCTCTTATCTCCCACACACTCGCAGTGCGTGCACACATTCAGCATCACTCGCTCTCCAGCCTACTCGCACACACAGAGCAAGACACCCCAAAGTCAATCTGTTATGCACCAAGACATCTGCACACGGCACATTAGTATTCTGTATGTTAAGTCAACTTCTTTACCGCAATAACAGTTTGATTCACCACGCAGGCGTTCATTGGAACTGCAGAGAGGGGAAAAAAAAAACACAGAGACCAGCAGTGAACCAGCAGTATGTGTGTGTGGGGTCCAAAATTAACATTTCAAGCACCAAATGGGAGGAACATTTGCCAAGAAAATAAAAACACTTAATGTGTATATATATATATATATATATACTGTATATATATATATATATATATATATATATATATACTAGCCATATTTTTATATTGTTGCAAGAAAAATATTGTTTGCAAATTATTGTATGCAATGTTATTTATTTATTGAAGTTTTATTGTTATTATGATTATTTAAATTTCTACAATAAGTTTGCCTTTGCTGTTTATAGTGTTTATATTACAATTCAATTTAAACTTGATATATACTGTACAATATTGGCTTTTATTTATCAATGTCACAACCACAACCAGTTGTGAATTTTTAATTATTGCCACCTATATAAATCGCGATTATTCGCATCCAAAATAAAAGTTTGTGTTTACATAATGTGGGTGCACTGTGTATAATTATTTCTATATATAAATACACACACATGCTTGTATATATTTAAGAAATATTTTCATGTATATACTGTATATAGATTTATATATAATTTATATTATATATAAATATAAATATTTTACATATGAATAATATTTTTTTTCTTAAATATAAATGCATGTGTGTGTATTTATATACGTACAAAATAATTATACACAGTGCACCCACATATATTATGTGTGAGCAATATTATATTTAGCGATTAATCGTTTGACAGCCCTAATATAAAGATTTAGATCACGTAACACTCACCTACAGGAATAGTGATAGATTATGGCAAAGATTTAATCCTTCAACTGTCTTGAAGTGTTCTTTCCCGTTAAAAGTGTGGTCACAATGGCAAAATGTTGGTGAAATTTCACAGGCAAAAAAGATCCATTGTCAATAGTGTAGCAATGTATGAAGCAATGTATGAAGCGATACACACATTAATACCAATTTCTCTTTATATCTAAATCCAAATTTTTATTTGCCTGATTACAAAAACAAAAGTCTCACCATGTCCCAAGGACACAATTATAATAATGTTCTCATTATAATATTAAGAAGCCTATATGACAGACATGGGCTTAACTGTATTTTTCAAAGTGATTTCAATCATATTTAAAACAATTCAAAAACATCATGGCAAACATTGCGCATCTGAAGTGTCTCAGCTGAAGGAAATATATTATTTGTCGGCTTCAATATCGGCAAAATGTTCTTATCGGCTTGATACCGATAGCATTAAAAATGAACATAAATCGTCCGATACTGATATAGTGGCCGATATATCGTCACTTCCAAACCAAAAAACTGTTTTATGGATTCATATTGAAATGCCTGGATTTCACCCTTAAACATTTGCAAAACAATGGCCACACATTAAGAGCACACAATGGTGCATTTATAATAATTTGCATTTTTTGCCACAAATATCCAAAGGAAAACCAGCTAAATAATTCCATTGTCGTATTGTAATAAATATATTGCAAAATAAACGTTATTGCGGGTCATAAATATTTGATCAGTTCATCAATCATTGGCAGGTGTGGCATTAAGTTAATTTTGGACTGTATGTGTAAGAAAGGCTGTCTGTACCGCAGTGGCAGGTGGGGCAGCAGTCATCTGCTGTATTGCACTGGAGCTCTGTGCCCAGTGGACAGGTTGGCGTGTCCATGAGGTGGCAGGAAATGTTTGTATGCTGGATGAACACTTCCTCGTTGACCTGTGCACATACGCTCAACACACATCTGTCGTGCGGAGACACCCACTGCTCTCCCACCTGTACACACGTGAAGTCAAAGGTTCTTTTCAGATCGTAGCAAATTCAAACACAAGCAGAAAGTAGAACGGAAAATACTCTAAATACTCGCCTGTCTCAAATAGCCTCCTTCCACACAGCTGGATTTACGGCAATGGCCGCAGCACTCGCTTTCTGAATGCGAGTATGTGGTTCCCTGCATATACAAAATCAATGTGAAATCATAATCATTTTCACTTTGCTATAAATGTCTCTAGACATACTGTGCATGATTCATCACTGCATGTAATTGTATGGGAAAATGTATTAGTTTTCATAATGTTTAACAGAATGTAATTACACTTTTAAATAGTTTCCTTTTTGTTAACATAAAAAAGAGACTTATATTAAAATTATATTAAGTAGATTTTTATAAAATAATAATATGCTGTAGCATTGTTCTTGTGTTCCAAGTGTTTGATTTCTCACTCAGATTAAAAGAGCCATTATCATATTCTAATCACTAGATATAAGGGAGCTATTTTGCCTTCTTTATCCACCAAGAGAAAATAAATCTGAAAAGAGTAATAGCACACCTGCTCAACATGTTGCATAATTTGAGGCATTCACAAAGACATAATAAGGGGAAATAGTCCACTTGTATAGAAATGAACAGGATAAACTATAACAATCAATATGGTGGCTTTAGTCCTGCCTTGAGAAGAGCCAATTTCCTTTCTCATAGATGTATCAACTGTTTGTCTACTCTTTAATGTGCATATTTGTGAATTCATTCAATGCTGAATAAGTGCATACAAATATAATACTTGAGGTGATGAGTTACTTCAGATCCCCTCTGAGAGTTTGAGTAATAATTATGGATGCCTTAGTAAAAATAACTTATAATAGCAGCCTGAATTCAAGCCCCAATGAATATTCAGTACACAATACAAAAGTTAAATACACTGTAAATGCTGCTGCATGTTGTCTTTTAAATTATGACCTATCATGATTTGTTAGTGTGTGATGTTGCTGTTTGGGCATGAAAAAGGTCTGTAAAGTTACAAAGCCAAAGGGAGTTATCCTCTATAAGCACTGTTTGTGAACAGCCTTGAAACACCTCGATAGTCTCTACAGTTTTCTACTGGGAACAAGCTCTTCAAAATATCCCTCATTCTTCCAAGTCCTCCCTTAAAACACATTTTTGATGATCACAATGGCATATCTAAACATGTTTTCCTGTGAAAATATAGCAATGTAGCCAATCACAGACATGTATGTTGAATTTGCACCTGGTTTGTCTTAAAGTATATAAAAAAACACCTCATGGATATATAAAACAAACATTAAAAACATGATTTTCATCGCAGGGTTTTTAAAACTAATTTCTGCCCAAAGGAATCCGAAAAAAAAGGTGTGATGCCTGCTTTAGTTCTGTTAGTGGTTTGTTGAAAAATAAGGTTAAGGGGTTACATTTCTCTCAAACCAGTTGACCAATCACAGCACAATGGTCCAGCTGACCAATAAGCTTTATGCTCAGCTGCACTACTTCCTGAACTTCAGCCAGCTCTTTGTTTCCTGTCTGCCATTATTGGACAAATTGATTAATTCAGGTGTGTCTGAATTTTGTTGCCATGGCTACTGAGGAAACAAAGAGCTGGCTGAAGTTCAGGAAGTAGTGCAGCTGTGCATAAAGCCAATTAGAGCACATTTCTCTTTTTGAAAGGAGGGGCTTCATAGAGACAGGAACTAAACAGAGCGTTTCTGACCGATTGGAAAGAGAGGTGCTGCAAAAATGTAAAATATGTAAAAATAACGTGTTTTTTAAGCATAAAAATAGGGCTGTTAAAAGATTAATCGCGATTAATCGCATCCAAAACAAAAGTTTGTGTTTACATTATATATGTGGGTGAACTGTGTATAATTATTTTATAGATATAGTAAATACACACACATGCTTGTATATATTTAAGAATTATTTTCATGTATATACTGTGTATATATTTGTATATACATTTTTTTATTATATGTAAATATAAATATTTTACATATAAATAATATTTTTTCTTAAATATACATGCATGTGTGTGTATTTATATATATATATATATATATATATATATATATATATATAATAATTATACACAGTGCACCCACATATATTATGTAAACACAAACTTTTATTTTGGATGCGATTAATCGCGATTAATCATTTGACAACCCTAATAAAAAACCTTTTCTAGTAGACCCCAAAAACAAAATCAAGACTAAGTAAAAGGGCATAATATGTCCTTTTTAAAATACCATACGATCATTATAATACATTCAATGTCCATACAATTAAATAAACTTCATAAAAAATCACAAATTAATATTACTCAAACCCAAAAAGATTGAAACTAAGTTGTGAAGGACGCACCAGAGGACAGATCTGGTTGCAGACGGGGTCCACACACTGAGCAATGTGCAGGCCTGTCTGTCTGTCTGTTTGCTCCGTGCAGGTGCAGGTTTTACACTTCTCATCCCACCTGCTGCCCACCTGGTACACCACAGCGTCCACCACACACACCTGCACATAAATAGTCAATCACACGCTGATTGCAAGAGTACACTCAAAAGAACATGGAGCTGCAAGGTCAAGTGAATAACACATGCACAGCGAGCGTGCAAAAGCGTGCCAACCTTATCAGGCGCGCAGGTGACCTCTATGCAGCCGCAATCGTTGGTGTTAGTATTCGTGACGTAACCCGTAGGGCATGTGCGGGTGATGTTCTGACAGTCGCACACACATCCGTACGAATCACAGCACTCTGATGGCTTGACCGACAACTTCTTGTACGCAGGGCAGGATGGTTTTGTTGACACCGGACACTGATCCTTTTTACAAACTGAGAGAGAGCGTTGAAAGAGACAATGTGTACATGATTGAAAGCCATCTATGTGAAATTAACTAGAGTATGTGTGTTTATGTGCTCTCACCACACTTGTAAATTGGCAGACAATCTCCAGGGTTTGTGAGGACGACACTGAGCCCATGGTCACAGAGAGGGGGATCTGACCGCTTACAGTTTACATCACACACTACAAACACACACAGTACATCACACCACTATATCATAGTATTGCCATTAGGTGTCATCATACCTGTGAGTATATGGGTAGTAAAAGCGTAATATTTCCATGAGCCTTTTTTTATCAACAACAAGACATTAGGTTAAGATATGACTGTATGCGGGAAATGATTTGTGTGTGTGTGTAATATGGAGGAGCATATATACATATTTTAAAGAGTACAATGTACATTATTTGTAGATTCTGTATGTATTCTCAGCTCACCACACTCGTATTCAGGGCAGCACTTGGATCCAATCTTCTCCTGGAGAACCTCACATTGTCCACACTCTGGGGCTGTAACACAGCAACAGTTGCCATGACAACACACATTGAGAAACCACTTTGAGAAATGGGGCTGATAATCGTATAGTGGACGAGAGTGAGTGACAGTGAGAGAGAACATACACATTGTGTCTTTACCTTTAGCATTGCTGCAGGGTAAAGCTGTGCAGTTGATGCGCTGCTGATCCAGACACACACACAGAAGACAGGGGTTGTCTTCAGGATTCCAGCTTTCCATAAACTGAAACACACACACACACACCAAGATCACAAGACTGTTGTTTGCAATTCCACAGATCTGACAAAGGCTTATTGATTTTATAAAGGTGGCTTAGCAATATCATAAAAGACACTGATGTTGAATACCTGATGGGCTTTCCCATGGTGGTCCATACACTGACTGCAGGCCTCTTTGCCTACACACTTATCTCCCATTAACACAGACCCTTCAGGGCAGAAACAGCCCTCTGTGGGAGTGTTCAAGCACAGTGATCCATTGCCCTTCATTAAACCATCACCCATCACGTCACCAGGACTGAACTGGCTTTGGCCACACTGCTCCAAACATCCAGTTCGACACGCATCGTATTCCATAGAGCCTGAGCATGACATGGCTACACACACAGAAATTGAGATATTTGACACTTCAATCTCAATTAAGAGTCGAACACTAAATTATTAACAATATGCAGTTCACAACATATTTAATTCTGTAATGCAACAGATTCAGAGTGAAAAGGCAAAAATTAGGATACAGTAGAAAATAATGTGGGGTGGGATTTGATTTTGTCCATCTGGAGATTACATTTTTTTATGTCATTGTTTAATATCTCCCCCCTCCCCCACATGCGTGACTTGTGTGAATTGCTTAATCTGCAGTAAGGAAAATTGTGAGGAAAGGAGGTGAAGTTATTACATTTTATATGAAAAAAACTGTTTTTTTTTGTAGAATAATGTACACTGATGTATTGTGCAACATAAAAGCAGGTATTTTGATTTTTTTTTTTTTTTGATAATCTCAAATTATGATCATTATTTACTCATCTTCATGTTGTTCTAAATGTGTATGCTGGTTTCCATAACATGTGGGAAAATGTCCTCTGGTTCTTGCCAAACAACAACAATTCATAGAGACAAAGTTCAGAAAAGTTGTCCAAAGAAGTTGAGTAATAAGTCTTCTGATTAATTATATTATTTGTTTATTATTATTTTTCTATTACCATTTATTCCCTTTTTTCCTTTATAATCTTCTAAAAAGCAGCATTGTTATTGTTAACTGAAACCTTTTTAAAAAATCATGTAAAAAGTTGAATAAAAATAAAGCTAAATATACATATTTAAAAACTAATAACATGACTAAAGAACTAAAAATGAAAATATAAAAGTTCATTCAAAATATTAATAAATACTATATTAGAATATAAACAATACTAAACACTGCAAGAGGGGTAGATATTATCAATGATTAATAACCTAGACCTAAATAAAATAAAAAAAAATGATTACACAAAACAAACATATGACTACAGAAGTCAAGAACACTATATCTCATAAGATAATATTTATATTGTGTTTTATTGTCATTTTTGGAGTTTGGTCAAGTGGTATGTAAATACGTCTCCTTTTGTGGTAATAACAGAATACCGGTTTAACTTTGGAATGACAAGAGGGTGATTCATTAATTTCAACGCATTCTCACCCCAAGGCGTCACCTTTGACCATGCTTCAATATTTGACGTTTTAGGCGCCCTTTAGCGTCACTTACATGACGCGATCCTACGGCGTCATCTAACTGACGCTAAAGGAAAGCGTCTGTTAGAGGACGCGGTTAGGTTTAGGTGTGGGGTGGGGGTAGGGTACACGCGATCCTAGGGCGTCATCTAACTGACGCTAAAGGGCGCCTAAAGCGTCAGATATTGAAGCATGTCCAAATGCTTCCCAAGGCGTCAGTTAAGTGACGCCTTGGGGGTGAGAATGGGCTGTTAATTTTCATTTTTATGTTGATCTATTCCTTTAATACCAGCTACTAGATCTGTAGCTCCCACATTAAACTTTCTTTCAAGCTTAAGACTTTCATGAGTGCACACAGATCTGGTGTAATTCCTGTTTGTTCTCTTTCTCAGGCACATTGATCAAAGTACCACCACCTCAGAGGCCTAGAGCCACTGATCTGAGAGGGTCGCAACACGCTTCCCTTCATGACTCATTAATCACAGAAGACTTACGGCAGAGGGTGGGCGTCCTCCAGTCCACACACACTCCCTGTTGGCGGCACACTGTGCTGTAGGCTGTAACAAGGTCACACACCGCATTAGGCTGGCAGGCCACTCTCTGACAGATCTGCACATAGTCCTGCAAAGGAACCAGCGCGTGACAGCGGCTGAACACCTGAGAACTTAACACATCACAGCCCTTCGCCACACCAGCAGCACACGACTCAACCTCCACATGCTGGACACACTCGCCCAGAGCCCATCCCTTGAGGTACACGTCAGGGTCTGTGGTCACACTGCCGTCAGATAACACTAGACCTGTCGGCTCATCAGAGCAGGAACCTGGAAGAGAGATGGACAAGTTACTTTACACACCCCACAAGATCTTCAACTGGAGTTTGAATTAGGCTGACATTAAGAGGAACTGCAATTGAAAGAATTTTGACATTGTTATATTTTGCCCAAATTATGCCCATTTATTGGATTACATTTAAATTTATTTAACTTTATATTTAACCTAGTTTCAAGAAAAAGAAAAATAGATTTAAATGTTGCCATTGTCACAGCCCTTCGTCTGCACCATTCTGTCCGCGTCTCCAGCACTACACTTCCCATGATCCTCTTGTCTGCACACCTGAACTCACTCCCTCATCAGCCTCCCGTTCAGTGTCCTGTTCATCTGTTTCACCTGTCTTCACCTCATTATGTTTGATTCTGCTGTGTATTTAGTTCTCCCTCCTTCAGTCTGTCTTGGTCGGTCATTGTTGATGTTACCCTTCCGTGTCGTGAGTGTTTCCTGCCTGTACCCGTGCCTGTTGGCTATTCTGAGTTAAATTAAAGTGTTTGCATTGGAGCATTCGCTTCTTGTTCTCCTTCTTCTGCCTACACTCCACCGGCCCCGTGACAGCCATACAGCCAGATAACTTATCTATAAGTAAAAATTGACCTTCCTCAAAATGATTTTTTCTTTAATAAAAGATCAAAAGGATAACCAATGCAGATTTATTTTTTACAGCCATCTCTGATCATATTTACCAGGGGTGCCAATCGTTCTGACCACAACTACTGTATGTATATATATATATATATATATATATATATATATATATATATATATACATACAGTATATATATACATACACTATATTTACTATAGTATATATATGTATATATATATATTTACAATTCTAAATAAATTAACATTTAACTAATGACTGAACTAAATACAAATTTCTATAGACAGCATTGGATTGATTATTAATATTATCTAATGTTAATATTATCTGATGAGAATACTCCATGTTTATGAATTATGGATAAATAAAAAGTGTATTGACAAATGTTAAAACCCGAAGAGCAGTTATATAAACTATGAATTTAATTTCATAACCATTTCATAATTCTCCTTCTTTAAATTTGAATATGACAATGTTGCATCCAGATTGCTACCTCAAATCACTTTCAAGGACTAGATTGGAATTTAAACATTAATTTTGAATACCACAAAACAAATCAAAGTAAAACTCTCATCAGCAACCCAGCTCAAAAATTACAGTCGTAAGCTTAAAGGAACTGTATTTACCACATACGCCAGTGGTGTTAGGTTTCATGGAGATGTCCATGTTGATCATGAACTCATTGCTGTGGGGAGTGAAGGTGAGTGTGAAACCATGCTGCTCTGATCTCAGCTGGTGAAGTATATAGCACCAATTTGTGTCACAGTTACTCCCTGAATCCTGAATGGGACTGCGGTAAACACACACCGCCCACAGTCACCTGAAATATAGAGAACATGTTGAATCTCTTTTCTAACTTGGTTGCCCATTTCACTTTGCATGCTTTTTCAGTGCATCTACCTTCATGTCATCCTGTAGCACCACACTTGTCCCGCCCTCCTTCAGCTCCAGGCTCTTCATGCAGATCTGATTGGGCGAGCTTTGACAGGCAGCCGCGTGCAACACTAGCTCCGCTCCTCCTGAGCGAAGCAGCAAATAGGAGCAAGCGGCTCTTAGCTTCAGAGCCGCCCCCGAAAATGACACAACATGACTAGTGGAGCTGCCCATGCAACTACCTGCGGAAAGAAAGTAAGCATGTTCAAGTTAAAAGTGCAATGCATTATGCAACGTTTTAAACAGTATAACGCTCACTTGGCCTCATCACATTGCATGTTTAATATAGTATCATTTCAGAAATAAAGTGCTATTTTGCAAATTTAATCCAAGTTTGAGTAAAAATGACCTAAAATGAGGACCAATTATGCTTTTTTATATTTTTTTCTTTCTTTAGTGCATGAAGTTACAAAGCACAAAGTAATTCCAAAGGAAGTTTTTTTTTTTTTTTTTTTTTACAATTTCTGAAACGCCTTGATTTTAGTCTTGAGTTTTCTTCTGGGAACGAACACATCAAAAAATCCTCATAAAATAATTAAATAAAATCCTCATTTAAATAATTCATGCCCCAATGCATATGCAAAATAAAGGGCACGAGGCATGGTTCAGTTACGTTAGTAGTGTTTTTAAATATTTCCAAATCATCTAATCTCAATATAATTGTCCAGCTGACCAATCAGAGCACACTGCGCTTTGTGAAAAAGAATTAAACAGAGCGTTTCTGACAGACTGGGAAGAGAGGTGCTGCAATAATGTAAAATATGTGAAAAATAATGTGCTTTTTGAACATTTAAGTGTGAAAACCTATTCAAGTAGAACCCAAAACCAAAATCAAGACTTTGAAAAAGAGAATAATTGGTCCTTAGTGTGTTGGGTGTTGCATAATTAGGGATGTGTGTTCATACAGGGGCAGGTCCAGGTGCAGCCACAGGTGTGATTGTAGCGGAGGGCCGGAAGGCTGTTTTTGCAGACGGGAGGCTCCATCTTTTCACAGTTGATGCGATGGCTCTGCACCGTTACTGTGCCTGATGGGTTGCACAGCACTGAGTGACAGCCATCTGACAACAACCATGTCTCACCAGGCTGATGGACAGAAATAATCAGAATTATGATAATCAAAAAATGTTAGTTTGCAGTGCTGGCACGATTACTTGAAATTGCTATATTTCTTAGTAGCTGCGATTTTATTGAATAAAAATGCGCTGCATGTGTCAGAGTGAAGTGTGGCACTGTGCTTTTTTACACACAAGTTCGAGTTTGTGAATTTGAGTCACTTGGAAACGCAACATGTGCCAACCATCTTCCCAAACTTGTAATAAGAAACATTTGTAACAAAAGAGAATCTCCCAGTGGTTTTCTACCAAAATAAAAGCGTGATGATTTGACGTTTGAAAAGAAAAAATGAATCCTTAAATATTAGTATTGTAATTTAATAGTTGTACTGTAAAATAAAATTATTAAAAATATATTTTTTCTTAAATATATTTTTTATTTTACAAGTACAAAGTATACTACTTATTTTTAATAATTTAATTTTAGTTATAATAATTTTCTTTATATATTATATATAATATATATATATATATATATATATATATATATATATATATATTCACACTGACATATAAATTTAATAGAAATTTCAGAAAAATCAGTAACTTTAGATTTTCCCCCCAAATCGTGCAGCCCTAGGTAGACAAACATACACTATGCAAGTAATGTGAAATGTGGCATCATGGGGGTCATTTAATGGTAATTTTGCCATGGCAGAACAAACAGTTTGAAGAGACTCTTGATGAGCAATCAATTAATGATATTTAAAGCTAACTGTCTGAAAAACACCACATCCTGTTTTAATGGCACAAACATTTCAATGCAACTCTATCGACCCCTAGTGTTTACTGCCAAAAATGCATGTTCATTATGCATGCTTGTAATGCATTGGCCAAGCATTCATGTTTGCTCACTTGCATAGAATATGTTTCTGGCATTAGATGAATTGATCTGTTAATGAGCAGCTCAACCTCAAAAAGGTTTTTGAGGGATGAAGTTATTGGCCCAGAACGCCTGATCCAGTGAAATTGATTATGGATCCTGAGATCCAATGAAATGGATTGGATTTGAGTACTCAGAAAGTCTGCATCAGATCAAGAGGTTGAATGGAAGAAAATTAGAAGCTGATGATCCTTAAGTCGAGGCCTTTGATGGAAGTTTTGATGCATGAAGAGAATTTTGCATCCTACTAAAAAAACAGCTCAACCTTCCGTTCATTCCCTTCATCATCCACACACACTCCAGGAGGACCCGCTGAGGACATTATCATTATCATCATTCTAATCAAATTGCTACA